GATGCCTGAACCACCTCAAATGACTCTTTTCTATGAGGAGGAGCAGCAGCTCTGCTCCCAGCTTCTTTCGGATGACGGAGCTCCTCCCCGTCATCTCTAAGGTTTATCTTGACCACCACAAAGGAAGCTCATTTCAGCCTCTTGTATCCAGGATCTTGTTCTTTCGGTTATGATCCAAACCTCATGATCAGGTGAGGGTTGGAACGTCTTAGACAGAGATTGTTGCCTTTCAATTCAGCTCTTTCTTCACCACGATCGACCGAAGCAACGCCCTCCTTACTGAGGATGGGGCCACAATCTGTCCACTCATCTCCCGCTCCATACCATCTCTTGTGAACAAGAGGCCCCGGTACTTGAACTCCTCCACCTGAGGCAAAAACTCCCGGCCCCTGACCCGGAGCCTCCGAGACGGAGGGGGTTATTATTCCACCCAAACAAAAACTGAAATGAAACAATAAAACAAACAAGCCCAAAACTATAGCAGACTCCGCTCACCCATTGTACCAGGACAGTTTATGGTATTTACAATACTCCTTATGTCTCAAACCAGCACTACTTTCTTCTTTGCAGTCTCTTTTTGCATATACATCGAATAAAAAACTGCTCAGAGCACGTGTGGTGCTGCTGCCTCCATGTGGACTCTTCAGGCCCTTCTCCACAGACAGCCAACAAACCAACAGCTCAGAAGTTAGGACCTAGAATGTTACATTCGTCCTTTATTGTTTTTCTTTTTTTATAATGTATTCATCCTTCTTCATATGTATGTTTATTTAAAAAAAATATTCGAAAGCCAGTAAGAAAAATAAAGACAGAGAGAGAACACGGATGATGAGATCCTTGTAGCAGCTGACTGTTTCTCAGTATTAAAAGAAACAGAAAATGTGTGTGTGTGTGTGTGTGTGTAGCACATGTTTGTCCATTCTGGATCTACAGTTACATGAGAGGGGAGGGGAGTGTGACAGCTGCTGATCTTCACTGAGCTCTGTTGTTGTGAGGACAAGCTGAGGCTCTGATTCCAGCCCAACGCCCACTCCGCATGCTGCCAGACTGGTTCAGCACAAAACACACACACAGCACACACACATAGTGTTATATGTGGTTGGTTGCATGTGTGTGCTGGTTGTTTTCTGTTTTCTACATTCATCAAATAAACAGAAAACAGGGATGAATTATTCATTTGACTCCCTTTTCTGAATAAATCAGCATTTTTATATTGAATTCTTTAAAGTGAGGTGTTGAACTGATTCTGCTTTATGTTTCAGTGACTTTTCAAATATAAAATGTAAGCTTTAAAATGTAACCCTTGTGTGTTGGAGGTGGTCTGGCCCTCAGGTGTATCTTTGCAGGAATGCCTCGTGAGGCGTGTGGGGGCAGGTGTTAACCTCTGCAGCTCTGAGTGTTACACACACATTTCCATCATTTCTCCATAGAAAGGGAAAAGAAACGCACCAGACCAAGAACAACTTGATTTTCTGCGCGTGGAACTTTTTTTTTTTTTTTTTTTTGATGCTACTTCCTTTAAATTTCCTTGTTTTGAATTGTTTTGCTTCAAACTTTTATAAATGATGATTTACTTCCATTATCTCACTTATTTCCAGAGTAATAACACACACGAGCCACGCAGTCCACACCCACCCCTCCCTTCATTTGGGGGTTTTACGCAGCGCGATGCCAACAATTTTTGGCACACTGCCTATTAACAGGGGTCCACTGTGCCACACAGCAAAGTGGACTCAGTCTGGTCTTATCAATCCCGAGGCTTTGGTTGTGTTTGGGTTGAAGAACCGGATCCTCCCTGCAGGTTAAGACAGGTAACACTGCGCACCACGCCCTCTCCTGCGAGGCGGAAGTGGCTGACAGCGCACAGCCTGCTGTTGGAAAGGGACTGGAAATGTTTGTCTGAACATCTACTTCAGATTTTTATATATTTTAAGTTATATTATATGCATACATATATACATATGTATGTATATATAATTTTTTTATTAAGGGATTTGTAGCTTGGAGAACATGCGGCTCTGTGGATCATGCGCACTCCTTCTGTGGTTTCTACTTTCCACGTCTTTGGACTCCACAGGTGAGACAAATAACCAGATTTTGAAATGTATATATTTTAAAATTAAGATATTTTTACACATAATCTAGACAAAAACTGCCCAACTAACCACTCTCAGTTGAAAATGTGGTTTTACATTTTAAACAAGAGCGCATGTTGAAGCAGGGCTCAGATTTAATGTGTTTTTAATTTGAAAATCAATCCAGAATATTAAGATTTTATTTAATTTAAAACAAAGACTCTGACTATTTGGTCCCTTCTTTTTAAAAATGGTTATGGAGCTTCCTGGCGGCCTGAATTCGTCCCAGTTTCATGAATTATTAACCAGCAATCTGCTGCAGGACCGTGAATCTACCGGCTGTTTTATGACATCTATAGATTTAAACAATGAGCCATCTTCCCTGTAATTTGACTCATTTAAAAATGTTTCGAAAAGAATCTTAAGCTGCACAATGGCTTTAAACTGTGTTTTATGGAAACCAGTATCTTAAAATCTAAGGTTTTGTTTCCACACTGTTTATCGTCACAAGAAGCACCCAATTGTGCATTTCTTATCAAAAACTAGTTAATTTTTTTTTTCTGTAACTTTTTTCAAGTTCATGTCAACAGGTCTGGGCTTTTTCTGTTTTTTCTGTTTGCACATCCTGACACAGAGGCTGTAAAATAGTCAAAGTGAGTTTTAGTCATGGATAAAAGAAAAGATGTCGGTTCACACAAAACAGAGGAAATAAGAAAAAAAGCCTGAATCAATGAACCCAACCTGCTATGCCTTTTTGTTTGGCACATGTTGGACGGGTCAATGTTTCAGCCGCCACATTGGATACGATGAAGTCAGGAAGTTAAAGTAACCCCAGACTATAGTTTGTCACATACAACAGAAGGAACCTCGTCCTCTTCTGGATCCAGTCCGCAGCCTCTGGGATGTGGAAGAACAGGCGAGGAGCCGGAAAATCTTCAGGCGTGACGTTTTGAGGAATCCCATCAATATCTTAAATACGAGGAGTGTGTTTGAGGGGAAACAAACACCTGACTCACGACCAACTCTCGCTACGTTCATCTTAGCGTGGGACGTATTTTTGGTATGTCGCCATCCGTCTGTGGACCGTTTCTTGTCTTCTAAGCTGAAACCCTTTAACATAAAACGTGTCAAATGGTCATGTTGCTACCCCTGTGGTCATTAACGGTGAGCCTGTTGAGGTGGTGCATCAATAGAAACATCTGGGAACTGTTCTCGATGGCAAACTGACCTTTGACCCCATGTGAACTCGCTTTGTAAGAAAGCCCATCAGAGAGTGTATTTTTTATCAGAAGCTCTGTGGTTTTAATGTAGATTCTACTTTTATGAGAATGTTTTATTGAGTCTCTTTTAACCTTCATCTGTTGGTTTGGACTTACAGGAGCAAATTCTCAGGGATTGTCAGGATGTGCAGCAAAACTGCTGGCATAGCTCTGTAGAACCTCACTGACCTACACAAGGTGAGGTCAGTGAACATGGCCAGACGGATTCTGGCAGATCCTGTTCACCCACGCCATGGTTAGTTCAGGTTGCTTCCATCTGGACGCAGGGACGAGCAAACTGAAAACTCATTCATCCCTGTAGTGACCAGGCTTCCCAACGAACACTGATGATTTCTGTTATTTTAATGTCTCAATATCTTGTCTAGTATGGATGTTTCGTGTGACTGCTGACTGTGAAACAAATTGCCCCTTGGGGATGATAAAGATTCTTGAACTTGAACAAACTGCACAGCAGGACACCTCGTGGGCCAAGGATGATCCCTATTGACTTAAAAGGTCACACGGTGAACGGTCAAGGTCACGGGTGACCCCATTTAAAATCTTCTCTATGCCTAAGCTCGACATCGAGTAACATAGAAATGTCAAACCCTTCGTCCCCTAGACCCAGAGTGTCCCTGTGTGTGTGTCTATAAGACGCTCCACAGTACGTCGTCCTCGGTGTAACTCCACAAATGTTCAGAATGGAAAATATCATCGGACTACGGTTCCACATTGAATCTTATTTCTATTAAAACAAAGAAATGCTGAGTGAAGTCTACTCCTCTGATCGTGAAAGGGTTAGGATCCGCTGGTATCAACAGGTAAAATCTTCACATTTCGGCTGATGGCTTCAGCTTCCTGTTCGTTGAAGCGTTTGTTGATTTACACCGTCATTATCAGTGAAACTGACCTTTCACCTCGCCGCAATCATGTTTATACTCAATAGACTCTTGCATTCGGGATTGTTTTGTGGAGGGGAATTCATGCTTGTTGGGAGACATTCTTCACTGAAACCACTTTCAAATGAAATCAAATCGTCAAGTAGCTTTACTCCTTTAACCTTTTTTCCCTGTCTGGGTTCGTTATGACTCATGATTTATGACACTTATTTATTTGCTTCACAGGAACCATAACAGGTGTGCCTGCTAACGTGATTTACCGGAGTGTCATCGAAAATCTGTTTTCAAATAAAACAAGTTCAGCTTCTTAGAAGCAGGGTTCTGTAAAGGGTTTTGAACAATTAATAAATATTTATTGTGAGAAGCTCTTTAAATGACCTCAGTTTGGAGACGTAGCGACCAATCCGATCCTTCATAGCCATTAGCCTAAGTGGCTGTAAAGTGGATCATTCAGTAACTTTAGCCTAATAAACTCTTGTGGGCTCTTGCAGACACCGTTTTCTTTACTTTTAGACTCATTTGTGTTCATGTGGTGTGAGCAGCAGCACAACTCTGAGCTCGGTGTGCTCAATCAGAAAGGGTCACACAAACGTGGTGACATTTGTCATCAGAGTGGGCAGCCTTCATTAAGTTTTTCATTTTAAGAATGTCAGCGCACCAGCAGGATGTCACGTCTCTGCTCAGTCTATGAACGTGAAGGCTTTTGTTGCACGGAAGCTGCAGCTGAAAGGCCTTAAAATCTCTGAACTCTGAGGGCATTCTAAACACACGCTGCGGCTTTTCTCCTCCTGCTTGTCAGAAAAAGTAATGTAGAACTTTTATCTGGTAATCTGACAGATGCACACAGCATTCAAGCTGCAACCGGAAAAACTGGCTGCTTTCCGGATGTACATTTGGTCTCCCAGCAGTCACACCGGCACTTTTTTCCCAGTGCTGTGCTCCAGTCCTGCAGTGTACTTCATGTTTAGAGGGGCTTACAGTACCATTTTGTTTAGTTTTTTAATTACATAGTTATTCTGGCAGAAAGAGCCCCAGGCTGCGTCAGAAGGACCACAACAAGATGCTGCTACTTACATTAGCTAATTATAGTTTTTAGAATCAGAATTTGCACCGTAGTACAGTACAGTGAGATTATATTCGTACAGTCGTCCGAAATATGGGCGGACTGCACGTTAGCTCTTAGGAGCAGCAGCAACGTGGGGGGTGGGGGTAGAGCAGTCTTCTTAGTTTCCACATGAGAAATTGATAAGTTGGTCTGCTTCAAGGCTGAACTGGGGAGTCTGATTCGGATAAGCCGCATTTGTTGATTTTATTTTATTTTTTTCAGGCAGACTTATTTTTCGTCAGCTTTGAGTTCTGTTGGTACTTTCGATCAAAAATGGCCAGATGTGTGGGCATTCCACTGGGCCGTGCTTATTCGCTCCCTCCAAGGTTGTCCCCAACATACTGGCGAGTCCCCGAAGCCACAATTGGCCTGGGAGTCTCAAAAATCGCTTCGTGAGCTCGTAAATCAGCTGATTTTTGTGCTCGAAGCACGAACCAAACCTTCACATATGCTCGGCAGCATTGCCATGGCCGAAACTGCTGCCACCATCTTCTTCAATAGCCGATAACATAAGTATCTGACGGTGCCAAAAAGCAGAAACTCTATCATGATTCCAATGATATAAACATCTTTGGCATCCTCCTGAGACAATACGGAAAGGCACATTAACTTCCAATCCCCCCATGGATCCATGACGTATCCTGCCGCGTGCGTCTCGGCGGGGCGTGAGGGCTCTCCAGGACACTGTCGCTTGGTTGAAAAAATGAGATCAATTTCGTTGAAAGTCCAGCTGACCAGATCCAAGATAGTAGTTTACGATTCGGAAGATGTGTAAATAGAAGCTCCGTTACACAAGACGGAGAGCAAAAAAGCAGGAGGGAGACGGGAGAGGGAAGTAAAGCATCTGTCTTGCTCGAGAGCGAGTGAGGGTGAAAAATAATTTTGTAAATTTTGCAACATGCAAAACTGACAACAATGTGAGGGGTTATACAATAGTGTTTGCATAAACTGATTTTTTTTTTCTTGTTAAGTCTGTAACAATCCACTTTTTTCTTTTTCTTTTCTCAAATTGTGATTTAACCTTTAGCTTGTCTAGTCAGGATTAAACTATTTTTCTCCAAATTGAGATAATCCGAAGAGCCGTCTACAGCAGGTAAGATATTAATCTGAGCTCTCCACAGAACCCCACTTTCAAAGATCCGAGCTGTTGATTAAAGTGCCTTAAAAACAAATTAAATAGAATCTATCTACAGTTTTTCATAGTAACTCAGTCACTGTCGAGATTTTTCAGCGTAGACAAAAGTAGCTGACATACAAAAAGGAGTTTGTCTCTGCATGCCTTTCAGAATTTTTTTTATTTGTTTTTAAAAATTAAATTTGTTTCCTCAGAGTCCTTGCAGACGGTGGTGCGACCAAACAAAGGTTCGACCGTGGAGGTGTCCAACAAGCTGCCTTCGGCTGAGTGCACCGTGTGCACCGTCAGCGAGGCGAACGACACCCAGACCTCCTGCCGCTCCGCTCTGTCCCTGCAGCCTGAAGCTGAAGTGAAACTGCTGTTTAACTGCCCCCAGCAGTCGTACACGGTGACAATTACCAGCTCTATAGGTGAGTTTCTGCAACAAATGGTCACGGCACTGAAACCTTTAGTAGGTTTTATTGTTCCTTTAAAAAATATATTTTTTTGTACATTTAAAATGGCTTTAGGAACAAATACCAGTTCACAGAGGCAAATGCATATTGGTTATCTATCTGTTAGCAGAATTATGCAACAAATGATAAGGCTGAATGCTGTGAGATATTGTTGATGTGTGTGTTGTGTAAAAAGGAGGACAACGTTTATGTTTTTGCATTCCATCTTGACCAGATTTTTAAAATACAAAAATAAAAAAATAAAAGAAAGCCTCTGACAGTGAAAATGCTTCAAGATTGGTTTCTAACGATGTTGTTAATTTGATTCTGAACACCAGTCTTGGTTCCCACCCATTTATTTCTTGTTCTTTTGTGTCAGAAATGCATTTCGTATCAAGAATAAACCACTAAAATGTCTAACCAATCACGTTGTCTTAAACTTTAATCAGATTGCACTGAGAGCGCCTGCAACCCCAAGATGGTAGAAGTCCAACCGTCCATCCTGACGGAGTTCCACAGAACCTTCATTTGGGAGGTGAAGGCACCTAAAAAGATGTTTGTGAGTTTGAACGTTCTTGGAGAAGGACTAACGGAAGCATCGAAACCTTGCACCGATGGACTGCAGTATTCGGTGGCCCTATCAAAAACGGACTTGGAGGACAAAACTCAGTATTGTCGTGGGGGATCCGTGACCCTTTTAAAGCTGGTCAACGAGGCCGTTGCGTCTCTTGAAGTCAAGCCAGAGACGCAGGTGGAGTCCGTGCTGTTTCAGGCCTCCGCTGGACCTTTAAGTAAGAACACATTCCTGTGCAAACTCCTCTTTGAAACACTACCATACATGCATTTAGAAACAGCCGCCAGTTAAATTCAACAAAACCTTGGCCTATGAGGTTAATTGCGATAATTAAGCCACAGTTGGTGTTATTGATACTGGATATAACCCTTAAAATGTGTTTATTAATGAGCTAAGGACCAAGTTTTGACTTTACATGTGTAGATGAACAGATGCTGGGATATATTCATCATTTAACGCGAGTTCCTCATTTTTCTGGACTGAATAAAACGTGCACTGAATTTAAGGAAATGCAAACGGGAGACGTCATTTAAATTTGACCCATCAAAATGAATGCGGTCATTTATTTACAGAATCAAATTTAACATCAAACATTTACATTAATTTGGCAAATTATGAAAATAACAACAAAGCAATCAATCAGGAAAAATCATACGGCCATGATTTCTCCGTTGCTGCACCAACAGACATTTATAACTGTACAACTATGATCTTTTACCCACATGAATGTGGGTAAGCACTTTACACAGACATTTCTAAATATCTGGGAGAATTTCTACTTGATAGAAAAGTTTAAGATGAAAGATGAAGTTTAAAGGGGAGAAAGATGGTGTTTGAGGTAGAGTGTTGAACAGAACGGCACTCTCCGGGCTTTCTTCAGCTTTTCCTCACAGTACACTTAGGTGGTGAAAACGACTCTTTTACCTGGAGATGTCTCAGGCGAGATTCCGTTTAACGCACCCTTTCAGCGTCTCCGTAGGATGCTGTTACTCGTCCGGAGTAGCGGCGAGATTCTGTCCGCCACAGCTCACCTCAGTGGAAATGTTATAATCCCATGAAACTCGGAAGAGCTTCGTTGTCATGTCAGGAACTCCAACAGCACTCCATCAGAACTTTAGCTCTCGTGTAGTTTACAGAACTCCCACAGAACTCTTGAAGTCTGACAACTCTCCAACTCTGTAACTCCGTGAGTCTCTGAGTCTCTGTGAGTCTCTCCGTGTCCCTGTGAGTCCGTGTAAACCAGGAAGTACTGACATTTTAAAGACTCTTTCCCGGTTCACTTTTTGGGATTTTTCATTGGTCAGAAACGACCAGAAGGGGTGTGTTTTTGTGACGTAATAGGTTAGAGACCGCGAGAATTGTTATGAGACAGCTCAGAAATGTTCTCACAGACCGAGAGGGTTCTGTTTTGGCGTGCCTAAGACACAGGTGCAAAACATCTCTATTTACGTCTGAGAGGATTCTAAAACATGACAGTTTTAACATAACAACTTGTTTTTCGTTTGACTGTAACCTTGTAAACGCACACACTTGCTCATTCAAAAGACAGAAAATCAAGAAATGCTTATTCAGGTGATTTCTTCTCTGAATGAGGAATAAAAATCATTACTTACTGTTTATGTAAAATAAAAATGAGTAGTTCTTTTCAACCTGTAAAGCATTGAGTGAACTAACACAACTTGATTATCAAAACATTTGTAAGACAGTAATGATTATAAAAAGAGAGTGTTCTTTTCACTTGAATCTTCAAGAAAGAAAGTCTCAGGATGGGTGAACCTGTATTTATGGAGTCAAATACATGAAATGACAGCTTCTGTCCCACAAGGTTCTAAAGGTCAAGAGTTTTGACCTTAGACTGGGTTCCGACGTAGGCTTAGTCCACTACACATGTTTGAGAGTGAGGTTAAAACTCCTAGTATGACAAGCAGACTATGACATTAGCTAAATGCTGGCTTCTTGTTCTTGTTCTTTTGGCTGTTTCTTCTTCAGGGTCGCCACAGCGAGTCAGCTCACACTGTTCTCTGTCCTCACTCCATGTCCTCTCAAACTGAGTCTACATATCTTTATTTTATCATTTCCTTTTTGTCTTTTAAATCCCCTTTGTCGTTTTAACTATATCCTGTCTATAGCTGTAAATTCTGATGGTTTAAACTAGTAAAAGTTTTATTCGTGCTATTCTTAGCTATGAGATTTAATACACAAATAAGTGAACTTTAGGGGTGGTAAAATACGGATTTAGTATTGAACCAAGCTGTTTTTTCCACCAGTTTTCCATTTAAATTATAAACTTGATTATGTTTTGACACATACATTACGGTTGTGCAATTTTACCCCTTGCCGAGTCATTTTCCCGCCATTTTGCACATTCATGCTAACGCGGTGGGGTGTCTTTAATTTAAAGAAAGGAAACTGATAGAAATATCTGTAAAACATTTTTTTCAGAGCATGTTTTAAATAAAGAGCTACTGTACTTTAAAATATAGTTTACAACAAAGCAAATGAGATAATCAGATGTAATCAATGCTATAAATGCTAATTAGCATGTGGCTAACTGTAAATAAGCTTGTTTGCAGCGTTTTATACTCATCCACAGCATTTCCAGGTGTTTAAGATGTTTCTTGCGTTTACTTTTACTCCAATAAATTGCAAAAAAAGTTGTATAGTCTGTAAAATAAATATCACAACCAAGGATGGCACGTTGGAACTTTTGGCAAAAACGTGTTGCATTTGTTCACATAAAAAGAATCGGTGACCGCTTACGTTTTCTTTGAAGAGAGTCCAATTTTTAAAGGAGTTTTTCAGCTGCTGCTCCTTGTTGCAGAATTAAAGGTCAAGGGTCAAGGCATCAGTCAAAATGGAGGTTAAATGGGATCAGGCCAAAGGCTTTAGGAGGAGCTTTGCACACAAACCAAGCAGTTTACAAACATTTTAATCAGAATTTCCTTCTGTGTCACTAAGTTTTGTTTTTATTAACTCCTTTCAGTGGAACCAACAATCGTGACCATCGGTCCCAGTGTTACTGTTGTCCTGAGCCGTGACCCGGGAGAACCAGAATGTGAAGTGTGCATCCTTGGTGGCTCCACTCCCGATTGTAGCTCGACAGAAAAGACACTAAAGAGTGCTGAACAGCTCTCCGTGGAGTTTAGCTGTATGAAGCCTCAGAATGTATTCACTGTGAAGATGACAACAAAAATAGGTAAGAAACTGAATGATGATCTATTTTATGCTAACTAAATAGGATTTTTAAATATTTACTGATTAACATGTCTTTAGGTTAAATTTGTTTCGGCTTTTTGTTTAATTTGATGATTGAGTTTTCTTTTGTTCTTTGTATTGCTGAAAGTCAGCTGAATTTAAACATTTGGTTACTTATTTCCTCAGATTGCACAAAGAGCTCCTGTACTCCTGCTGCAGCTGAAGTTGATCCAAACCTTTTCAAGGACTTCAAGAGAACCCTAAAGTGGGACATTAATGTCCCAGACAGAATTGTTTTAACTTTGGACTTTCCTAATTATGGACTGAAGGACATTTCAGCCGCAGGAAGTTGCCCGGATGGCTTTCAGCACACGGTGAGCACCACGAAGTATGACGGAACAATCAAAACAAACCGTTACTGCAAAGACGGGACAGTGTCTGAGCTTGATGCGCTTGGAGCAACGACTGTGATGCTTGAAGTGCCCAAAGGAGGAGAACTGACCAAGACTGCGTTCAGTGTCAAAGCGACGCCAAGGCGTGAGTAAATAAACACTTTTATTTCTTTAGAAAAACAAAATGAACATAACTATATCCTTAAACATTTACCTTTTGACTTTAGGTGGCAGAACAATGTCTGTGACCTCTGACCCCAACACCATAATCTCTGTCAACAAGAAGGATACAGATGCAGATTGTAGAGTGTGCATAAACTATGGGTCCAAGCAAATATGCAACCCAGTGCTTCTGAGGCTGGCTAACCCTTACAACACTTCAGTTGAATTCACATGCCCTCAACCTCAGGATGTCTTCTGGGTGGACATAAACAGACAGATTGGTACGAGTATTAAAAATATTTATTTGCGAGGATTGGTATTTGTATCCTGTTGACTGTGAAATTGGTTTGTAAAGATGAAACACCCAAGCTATAATAAGCTAATGTCTTTTCTGTGACCGTGTCTGCTGCCTCCGAGTTTCAAATCTCCCTGGCAAAGAATAAATTCAGTAACTGCAGAAATTCAAAGCTTGTAACAACATAAATCTGTCTCTCAATATGTTTTGCCTATAGACTGCACGGCAGCATCCTGTCCTGACAATATTGTGCATGCTGAGAACACGTTTTTCCCCGACTTCAACCGGACTTTCACTTGGGACTTCAAAACAAAAAATTCCTCGCTGGCTATCAAACTGAACTTTCCGGAACTGGGCATGCAGCAGATTTCCAACGAGCAGATGTGTCCGGATAACCACAAATACTCTGTTATTGACTACCTGCGCACAGGGCCGGCGATAATCGGTACTTTTTGCAAAGGAGGGCCCGTGACCACAATATTGGCTCTTTACAAGGGCCGTATGGCTCTGTCTGTGCCCGGGAACACCAAACTGTACCCGGTAGACTTCACGATTGATGTTGGACCTGCCATCAAAAGTAAGTCTGAAGTGGTTATTGTATTCTTGATTTGATCTAATAGATGACTGAGATGTCACAGCATGTCTGATGTCTTTCTCACTGTATAAAAATATATCTTTGTGGGAGTAATGTATTGTCTTTAATCAAGAGTGGACAGTTTAATTCAAGACCAGGATTTATGATTTTCAACAATTTTGTAAGGGTGGCCATTGCTCCCCTGGTCTCCCCTTGACGTCACCCCTGAGCAGGAGATTTGTACTCCTTCATAGAGTACTAGTTTAATTTACTTTTTTCTTAGTCCACATTCCAGCTGTGTATTTTTGCACCTAACAAATAAAATGTACCTTGTCATAAAAATCAAATATGAGGAGGTATCTGATGTCCTTACTTATGTTTCTAACCCTGTAGTGTCTGCTTCTCTCCCCTCAGGTATGGCCATACTGGAAGTCAGTTTACCACGAGGTGTATCAGAAAACGATTTCATCACCCCAAACTACCCTGGAGATTTCCCCGATTCCCACCTGATTCAGTGGGACTTCAAGATGCCCGGCATGCACAACTACACCGTCCACTTTCAAGAGAAAACGGAGCCCGAATGCCTCTCGGGCAACGTAGAAGTGGAGTATCGGAACGAGAAGGTGGTCAGACGGACCCTGACGGGTCCTCAGCCTCAGCATCAGCAGGGCGACTTCAGCATGGTGCTGAAGAACTGCGAAACCAACACCACCCTGCAAGGACTCAGCCTGAGCTTCAGAGTCTCTGTGATGAGAAGCGGCCATCCAGGTACAGTTAGGCCAGTCACGATAACAAATTTTGCTGGGCGATTTATTGTCTCAGAAATTTTTGCAATGAATTGATATTGTTTGAAATTTGACAATAATTATTAGTTATTGACAAGTTTGAGAAGAAATGTTGGTTGATTTGTTTTGAGTGTAGTACCTTTTTTGACCACCGGATGGTAGTATAAGACTGTTTGAACTGAAGGATAGATAGTGAGGAAGCGAGCAGCGTGTCTCTTTAAGGAAAATGGGAGGGAGGCCCCTTGACGTGATATGGGCTGTCTCCATTTTTTTCCAAGTCTCAAAATGGTGGACGCTCTGTGTGGTTTGAGCTCTTTAGCATAGCATTGTTCACACAAAGCTTTTAATAAAAAAATCAGTAAACAAGTTCTCAGCTTCTTTTTGCAGAGAAAAACAACTTTTTACACGAAGGCACAAGTTTTAACCGTGAATTTTGGAGCTTCGACAAGACAGAAGTTTTTCCCCCCCTGAGGTCGGCTAGATAGCTTAGCTCGTAGCTTAGCTTCTCAGCTTAGCTGCTTTTAGCAATCCAAAAACGCAATTTTGGACGCTTAAAACGGATTTTTAAAGAGAAAAGAGAAAGGGAGTGGTCAGTGAAAAACACTGGAGTTGAGCCTTTTGTCATCCAGTGTCTTCAGTAGAAAGAGAGAGACACGAAGAAACGATAAAGCCGATAAATGAGAATGAGGTAGATAATTTTCATTTATCATGCGGTTAATTGATTTATTGTTTATCGTGACAGACCAAGGTACAATATGACTAAATATGACCGCTGGGAGTCAGGTTAAATGAAAAGCCTGATTTGGGACCTTGAAGTCAGTAGTTGATGCAGAAGAGCAGAGTGACACGGTTTAATTTCAGTGGTGCCCAACCGTGGTCCTCGAGGGCCACGATTCTGCACATTTTAGTTGTTTCTTTGCTCCAACGCACCTGATTTGAATAAATGAGTGATAAACGGGTTTCTCAGAACTGCACAGTTGGTTCTGCTGAAAAGACAGTTTTATATAAAAACAGTGACGGTCTCATCTTCACAGCTTTGTTTGACAAAAAGCTGCTTTATGAGCAGAAAATCCGAGAAATATGTTCCTTTCATTTCTTTTTAACTTCTGAGAACGAGCGAACGAGTCCTACGATAGAGAAGTTAGTCAAAGAGTATGGAAAGCAGATGGAAATGAATGTTTTTCTTTTTTCAAATAAATTGTGGCTGAAAGTTTAGGACAACACAATGTTTTCTGTCTTCGTTATACAGTACTTTGTTCTGATTAAAAAAATGTTTACTCATAATACCTGTAGTATTACAAGCATAAATTTAAGAAATTAAGTCAAAAATTTTATATTTTGTTGGTAAATATTTTAAATACACCAATATACTCAATATAAATGACTGAGCACGCATCAGGACATTTTAAATGCCATTACAGGAGTAATATAATGTATTTTTCCCTATAGTAAAGTATTCCGTCTGTTTTGTGTTTTTTGTGTTAGTTCTCTGTACGGTGGATCTAACCAAACTCAGAGGAGTCTCCCTGCAGATCCAGAAGGTGGGTTCTGACCCATTTTGTGAGATCAGCATGAACTCAGAGGTGAAAGAGAAGATGGAGGTGGCTGCTGGAACCACAGCCAGTCTCTCCTTCCTCGACTGTCCAAATGAGGACGTTCGCCTGACTGCAAGCCAAGTTCATTGTAAGATATTTATTTAGCTTTTGTTGTTTATAAAAAGTTTATTTTATTACAAAAATATGACGTTTATGATAAAGTCCATTTTACATGTTGAGATGGAAACTCTTTTTATTTGTGCTAATTGTGTTCTGTCTGTTTGCACTGGTTCTGAATATGAGAAACCCACAAAGGGAGCTTAAAGTTGAAGGTTTGCTCTGTTTAAGACTGAACTGAACCTTTAGAGTGAACCAGTCCCAGATTTATGACTTTATCTTGACCTGAAACTATTTATGGGTGCATCTAAAAAAAATTAGAATATTATGAAAAAGTTCAATATTTTTTGTCAGTCATTTCAGAAAGTGAAACTCGTATATTATATCGATTCCTTACACAAAGTGAAATATTTTGATGCTTTTTTTGTTGTAAATTTTGATTATGGCTTACAAATAAGGAAGAAAAAAAAAATCAGCGTCTCAGAAATTTTAAATATTGTGAAAAGGCTGAATCTTGTAAACTTCTGTTGTCACACCCTGATCAGCTGATTAACTCCAGACATGAGCTACAAATGTCTCATTCCTCAAGTCCAGCCACTCCTGAACCAGAGACGACATCAGGAGCGTCTTACCTGCTGAGGAGACAAAGATCTGGACTGTTGCTCAGTGGTCCAATGTCCTTTTTTCACATGAAAGTACATTTGACATTATTTGGAAATCGAGGTCTCAGAGTCTGGAGGAAGAGATTAGAGGTCCAGAATCCACTATGCTTAGAGTCCAGAGTGACGTTTCCACAGTCAGTGATGGTTTGGGTCCATGTCCTCTGCTGGTGTTGGTCCACTGTTTTCTGAAGTCCTCAGTCAACGCAGCATCTAGCAGGACATTTTAAAGCACTTCAAGTTTCCTTCTGCTGACAAGCTTTATGAAGATGCTGATTTAATTTTCCAGCAGTGCCCACACTGACAAAAGCTGGATGTGGAATATTCTAATTTTCTGAGACACTGAAGTTTGTTTTTTCATTATTTGCAAGAAATAATCATTAAATTACAAGAAATGAAGACTTTCATTTCACTCCGCGTATTGAATTTATGTACGAGTTTCACTTTCTGAAATGTTTGACAAAACCTTTTCACAATAATTAATTTTTTTTTTTTTAGATGCATTTGTAAATTGTCACTTTAAGGCTCAAAACAAATGCCAACGACGATTTCTGGAACTAAGACAAACCCTTAAAATAAACAAAGTTGGGCGGTATTCTCAGGTTGGTTAGACAGAACCAGGTAAGCCAATTCACCCAAACTATTTAAATTTTCAGGAAGTAATGGTGGACAAAAAGCCCACACGTGCAATCTTTTACTGCCAAAATAATTTATTATTGACAATATTTTGATCCTGTTTGGATGAAAAGCTGAACGATGGAGGAGTCCTAAATAAATGTCCCACATTTGGGCAGTTCATCTCAACATTTCCACCATCGCTGACAGAATCCATTATTTTTTATGTAAGCAGAAGCGTTTTATCCGAGTGTCTGTCTTTTTTTAGTAATGGAATGCGAAAGTGGATCATCGTGCCCTTCAGCGTCCCTCACGGTCCCCTCGCTGGACTCCTGTCTGCCGATGCCCCTCGACAGCTTCACATGGCTCCTGAAGATTTCTGAGGACAGCTCGCTGGACCTGGTGTCCCCCACAGGGAGTCTCAAGCAGTCCTTGCCGGGACAGGAGTGCAATCAGTCCGTCTTGCTGCGCGTGGCCGAGGCCGATGAGTTTTCTATCGGAGATTTCTGCTCCGACGGCGTAATCCAGAAAGTTCAGGTGCACGCCAACGTCTCCGTGACGGCTAAGGCGCAGGACTTCAGCAAGATCAAGGAGCCTTTACTTAACGTCAGCGTCAGTCCGGAGATCGGAGGTAAAACCATTAATTCACTCTGAACCAGCATTGTAGTCCAGTCAAATTTATTTATAAAGCACATTTAAAACAGCAGCTGTTACCAACGTGCTTAACAATAAGATCAAAGACAGTAATTAAAGAAAAAATAAGATATAATTAAAAGCATCAAAAGTGAAACATAAAAACACAAAAGCAATGAAATACTGAATCAAATCTCATTGTGTTAAATGTCAGTGAATACAGGTGTGTTTTTAGGAGAGATTTAAAAACAGGAAGTGAAGTGACCCTGTCTAATGTTGAGAGGCAGATTGTTCCAAAGTTTAGGGTCAATGACTGAAAAAGCTCGATCTCCTCTGAGCTTCAACCTGGTTTTTGGTACAACCAAAAGCAGCTGGTCAGATGATCTCAGCGCCTGAGAAGGAACATATGGTTGAAGTAGGTCATAGAGCTATGAGGGTGCAAGGCCATTAATGCACTTAAATGTCAACAGGAGAATCTTAAAATCAATTCTGATACATACAAGGAGCCAGTGAAGGGAGGACAAGACTGGTGAAATGTGCTCAAACCTTTAAGTTCCTGTTAAGAGCAAAGCTGCAGCATTTTGGACAAGCTGGTGACGTGAAAGGGACACCTGACTGACCCCAACATAAAGAGTGTCACAGTAGACTAGTGGGGTTGTAATGAATGCATGGACTATTTATTTCAAGGTCAGATCTGGTCAACACGGACTAAATCTTAAATATCTGCCTTAACTGGAAGAATATTTTTGTGTAGAACAGAGTTGATCAGTTTATTAAACTTAAAGTCAGAGTCTAAAACCATCCTGAGATTTGTTACAGACTGCTTAAGATATGACTGACGAGAGACTAGGTTAACAGGAACAAAGACAGCAGTGGAGCTAGGGTTAAACACAATGACTTCAGTTTTCTGATTGTTGAAACTTAAAAAATTTGACGCCATCCATGGCTTGATGTCATTAAGACGTTTTAACAGAAGAATTGTGCATGAACTATTTGGTTTTAAGGGCAAATAAATCTGACAGTCATCAGCATATAGAATGAGATGAAAGGCCATGTTTCCTCAGGATAGACCCCAAGGGGAGCAGATACAATGAAAACAGAAGGGGTATAAGAATTGAGCCCTGCGGGACCCCGCAGGAAAGAGTCACTGAAGCAGATAAACTATTACCAATATTAACACAAAAACTCCTGTCACTCAGAAACGTACCTTGAAACCTGCTCATAACTGTATAACCAACAACTCTGAACCACAAATCATCCAGTGTATCTTCATGTTTAGCACAGAAATCCTGTGATCTCTTTAATTAATGTGTGTATGTATATATAGAGATCTCTCTCTCTCGATAGATAGATAGATAGATAGATAGATAGATACACACCTTATTAGGCAATAGATCATTCCTGTTAAATGCTAACCTGTTATCCTTTTAAGTTTAATAAAGGGCTTGTGTCAATTTACTCATAAAGTTTAGATTAAACGGAAGAGAATTAAGATCACATAAGACGAAACATGGCACCAAATGATATGAAATAAAAATGCCCATAATTTATAAAACGGTCATACTCGAACACAAACTGTAGTTAGGAAAAGTTGTCACACCCATTAATATTCTGCCACCACATGGATTTAAGTTCAAGTTTAAATAACGAACACATAAAATGAGACCCTAAAGAAAGTAACGAATAGGGGAAAAAACAGCTGAATGTTTTTTTTATTGCCAGACTGAAGCCATTGTTTGGGTTATTGATAACGTGTAATCTTCTCAACATGCTCTTAATCAGCAGTTCTTTTAAAAGTTGTTTTCTGTTGAGTTTTTGTGTCTGATCATGGCAGAATGAAGTGTGGTGTGTGATGAACAGAATCTGAAAGTCCTGTCTTTAAGAAATGGGAGATAAATTTAGGGATGACCTGTCGGTGAATCTGTGAGAGGTACTGTTCCTCAGTTGATCGTTGGCTGTGAAGGTTTCCAAACTTTTCAGCTTTCAGCCCTGAAAATAAATCACAGGAACTCATGATCTCCACTTCTTCTTCTTTCAACTGTTGCCTCTTCAGGGGCCACCACAGTGAGTCATCCTCCTCCATCTCGCTCTGTCCTCACTCCAACTACCTCCATGTCCTCTCCAACTGCATCCATATATCTCCTCTTTGTCGTTTTCCTGGCAGCTGCATTTCTAACATCCAACCAATATACCCACTGTCCCTCCTCTGGACATGTCCAAACCATCTCAGTCTGGCCTCTCTAACTTTATCTCCCAGTTGTTCAACCTGTGCTGTACCTCTGATGATCTCATTCCTGATCTTATCCATCCTTGTCACTCTTGAGGAGAACCTCAACATCTTCATCATTTCTGCCACTTCCAGTTCTTTCTCCTGTCTTTTTGTCCATGTCTCTGTCTCCAGAACATACAACATAGCTGGTCTCACCACTGTCTTGTAAACTTTTCCTTTGACCTTTGCTGACACCCTTTTGTTTTAAATCACTCCTGGATCTTTTCTCCATCCACTCCATCCTGCCTGGACTCTCTCTTTCACCTCTTTACCACACTCCCCAATTTCCTGGACCGTGGACTCCAAGTCCTTGAAGTCCTGCTCCTTGTAGCCTCTCTGTTCCACCAGCCTCCCTCTCATTCACACATGTACCTCATTGGGCTCCTGATCCAGACTTTTGGAACCTGTGATCAACTAAAACACGTTTTTAGCTCATTGGGAATCGTCTTGGTGCTAAAATACAAATAATCTGTGTCAAACTGTTATTTTTTTATGTAGCTCTAATCATGTGAGCTGCAGAACCAAAGACGATTTTTATCTTTAGCTTGTCACAAAACGTCTGAAAATTCATAAAAAAATTATTTCTTTGTTATATCAGAACATGTTGCTTCAACAATGCAGCAAAGGTGAGGGAGGGAAAATGCGTACAAATTGTTCTGACTCACCTAACAGTCAGTCGAACCGTTGTGTTCTCCTACACTTTACCAGCACCTGAATGCAGCAAGTTCAGACTTGCTCACCGGCTGTTTTTATCCATCCAGTTGAAGCACTGACGCTATTTATTATCAACAATGTTTGAAACTGTAAAATCAAAAAAGGAAGAGTTGTTTATCTTTAATTCAAACCATTAGGAGAGATTAAATCTTTATATTCTGCACTTGTGTGAATCCTCGCTGTGTTTTCTTCGTTGCTTAGTCATCCGAGTGTTTAGTTTCTGTTCCGTTTGAAACTAAACAAGTTTCTTAAAAGCTCAAATTATTACACAAATTATTAGCTATATAAAAATGGATTTCACATCTTATTTCCAGCTTCCACACAGGGGCAGTATTGTACTACAAGACAATACATATTGCTGTGTATTTAAACACCAGCTCATGTTGAAATAATGAGTTCTGAGATTTATTATCACTTTCTGTTCAGAAACCATCATCTACAGAGTCAGCCCGATGCCGACCTCCCCCACCCTGCTGGCCTCCCCCAACTGGCCTCGGGGCATGAAGCCTCTCTCCACTGTATCCTGGATCGTCACCTTTCCCAGTCGGTACCAAGCGCACGTCCAGTTCATGAACATCAGCCAGCCCAAATGCGAGGACAGACACACGGGCATCGACATGAAGCTGCTGGGCCAAGAGGAAGAGTTCATGAGCCGCCGCGAAGACCAAAAAGAGCTCACGAATTTAACGGTGCCCCAGAGTTTCTACCTGAACATGTCCAACTGTAAGCTGGAGAAGGGCCGCTTCGGTGCCGTGGCACAAATTGTTCTTCAGAAAAACACCAGTAAGTAATTGTTTTTGTCTGGCGCATGAAATATTCTCACCGCCATGAACTTAAATTGAACTTTTTGTTCTTTGTTTTCGCCCCCGCCCAGATTTACTGGCCATCCTTCTTGGATTAGCGGGAGCTCTTGTGGTTCTAATCATAGTGCTGGCTGTTGTTTGTGTTCTTGTAAAGTAAGTGCACCAACAATGTGTCCTTTTTCTCTGAAAGACAGAAATTATATAAAAAGAAAGAACACCATTGATTTCATATTGCTCGAGCCAGCCATGTTGAGCTGTGACGTCTTGACTGGTCAGGAATCTGACTTTAAAATGTCTTTGGCGGAGCCTCGTTCACTTTTAGGTACAAATCGAATGCACCACAACTCGTAGACGATCTCTAAACTTTGTTTCACAGTCGCTGTTGTTTCTTTTTAAATATCTAAACCACACATTTTTCCCAGCTCCGCTCTGAATGCACAACTTAACCCGCTGCACATTCACACCATTTTTATGTAAATCTATCATTTATTGACACCTACGCTTGAGAAGCCCCAGTTTGTTGGAGCAGATCAGAGAAACAATCTTTCACATGTGGATGCTGGTATAGGAGTTACTGTGAGGCCGTACTTTTAGAAAATCACATTGGCCACTCAAAATATCAGTCCAATTTTTCAAAATGGCCGACAAAGTACTATATTTTCAAATGGCGTTTTAATATTGTGAAATTTCTATTGTATAAATGGGTAGTGGGAAAATATAACATGCTAAATTACCAGTATGACTACTGTATGGAACTGCAAATTCAAAATGGCAGCCATTTTTTAAGCTGGCCACCAAAAGTTTAATATTTTCTAATGGTATTTTGTCATCTTGATGTTTATGAGGTAGAAATGTGCAATATGTTTTATAATAGGAAATGGAAAAACATTTTGTGCAAATTACTTAAACGATCGTTGTACAGAACAGAAAAAAATAAAAATGGCTGCCCTTTAAAATAAAACCAGTTTTTAGTAATCTAATCTTTAGAAGCACAAAATAATTTGCTCTTATGGAAAAAAAAAGTTTTCTATTGCCCCTTGATGAAAAACACGGCAGCCATCTTGGAATTTCTAGCAGCTAGCACACTTCTTTAAAAGCGTATTGTCTAAAGAAGGCTGTGTGACGTTTTATGCTTTGATCCAGATTTGAAAGATTTGTTTTACCTTTATTTTTATTTTTACACCTGGCACTCGTGGGTCTCCGTATATATCTGCTGATTTCTTTTTGTATTTCCCCCCCAACAGGAAAAAGAAGCAAAAAGTGAAGGAGTCGTCCATCTACTTGGGCAAGGGGAATATCTTCCGCCCAAGCGACCGGCACTTCACCAAAACTCGATCCGACAACGACTCTCACGTCTACGACTACATAGACGACAGCTTGGTCTACAACCACCTGCTGGGCCGCTCCGCCTCCACCGACAGCAAACAAGACTTCCAGCCAGGCCTGCAGGTGGACTGCTATAAAACCTTCACAGGCCCCAACGATGGCAAGCTGCCTTTCGTTAAAGAACCAGACCCAGAACCTGAGTTGAAGCCGTATAAAACGTTCCTGGACCCCTCTGAGACGTTTCTCCCGTCCCGCCCGCGCACTCCCATCGGCCGGCAGGACAGCCTGGGCTTCCAGGACCGCAGGATGATGGACAACGAGCTCTACACGTTCAAAAGCACGGGCGAGTTCAACACCATCCGGCTCTCCGGCGCCAAACTGGAGCCCGAGCTCTCGGAAACAGAGGAGTCCTTGTAGTTTGTTCGGACTTGATCCGTGAACCGGACTGCTAAATCCTCCGTACGGCAGCGAGCGTCTGCGGGACCGGCGTCCCTCTCAGGGAGTTCTTTCTAAGGCAGACCGTCGTCAGGATAAGAGCTGCGAGTCTCATCTTTGCAGCGACAGATTTGGGAAACAAACGCATTTTTTTCCTGGGACGATTCACTTTGACTCTTTTCGTCTGCTTAAAATGAATCGACAGCCTGCGGCTTAAAAACTGAAGACGTCTGTGAATATTTGTTCTTGCAGCACAAACTGTAAGAACACAAAATGTTCTTGCAGTTCTTAAAGTTGCGCGTTTGAATTTTAAATTTAATACAAGAAGGGTAACTTTTGCAAATGACTGACAAATGCACGATTTTCAGTGAGACGACGTAGCCGAAACCCACTGAAATTAAGAATACTTTATGAAAATCTTTCCCGATGTTTTTTTTATTTACAGTCGAGACTATTTGTCACATTTATTGAGGTGTTGCGTTCAGGAACCAAACAGTTCTCTGATGATTCAAACCCTCGTTATTCACGTTTTTTAAAAGGGCACAAAGCGACTCTGTGCTTATTAAATCAAAAACTTTTTAAAAATAGATTTATGAACGTTTTTTTTCTCATTTCTTACTGATTTCATGAACGCTTTTTTTTTTTTTTTTTATAAGCAGAATGCACGGACAAACGTCACCTGGACATACCCAGAGTTTTCAGATTAAGATGAAACAACTTTGATGTTTTTGTATTAAAAAAAAAAAAAGTTTTAAAGTGGGGTTCTACGGAGAAATTAATAACGAATATCTTACCTGCTGTGGAACGCATAGTTTGGAGAAACTGTTTAATTCCTCCAAACTAATCTCTTCAAAAATCTATCTACAACAGGTAAGATACTGCTTGTTGACTTTCAACAAAACTTCTGAACTTTTTACATGTTGTTTTGGTAAATCTTGTTTTTAAGATGTGCCGCGTGAAGTCATTGCTGTTTCTGTCCGAACATGATTGTTGGCTGAACCCACAAGACAAAAACAAGAACACCAAAATATTTCTGTTGTGTTTAATTTGTTTCATGAAGTTTTCAGTTTTCTGAGCTGGAAACTTTATCAAATCTGCTAATAATGCTGTTTTTATATACTATATTTGTGTTGTTTTTTTAAATGTAAATACAATTTTAGTGTTCGTTTTTTTTTTTTTTTTTTTTTTCCAATAAAGTCAGAGGGGACATATTTAACTCAGCTTGCCTCCTGCCTTTACATCTCAAAGCAACGAAGGTTAATTTTCCGTTCTGAGCCGAGACGTCGACCTTTTCCTTCTGGACCGTGAGAAGGATTTCAACCACAGGAGCTCGAGCCACAAGAACCAGGAAGATTGACGGTGCAGAAGAACCGCAGGCTGGGAAAACAACTTCACACGCCAGGATTACATAACGATCACACGTCTGCAGGGTTTCTCTTTTTGATTTTAGAGCTTTGACCGCTTCAGACAACGGCAGCTGCTTCCATCTGAGCTCAGTCATGAAACGAACACCAGGGCAGAATATTTACTTTATTAAAAGTATTTTTACAGGTTACATCAGAGTAGATACTTTCAGGGCTATTCAACTGGTGGCCCATGGGCCAAATCAGCCCACCAATGGGTTCATATTTAAATAAAACTAGATTTTAAACTGTAAAACAAACTTATTAATGAGAATAACTGCTGGATGTGCGGCCCCTGAGCAGTTCAGTTGAATAGCTCCGCTTTAGAGTAATACAAGAAAAGTGGAAAAATGAGGTTCATTAAAAAAAAAAAAAAAACTCAGGACTTTTTTTTTTTTTTTGTGAGTTTTGTTCAAAGCTGATGTTTAAACCAGAGGTTCTCAAAAAGGGAATCTGACTGAATCAAGAAGTGGAACATTACAACCTGATGTGGCGTTTGTGAAAGGTGCCTGCACCTGCACTCGTGGGTTTACCTGCACTCTTTATTCTCACCTGCGCTGACCAAATGTCAATGTCTTTTACTATTTGTTTTGTTTGTTTGTGGACTGGAGTTAGTTCCACATGTTTTTACCACAGGGGCTGCTGCAAATGACATACCAGCACATCACTTTTGTCAAAAATAAAAACCTTTTGTGTAACTGAGCGTGTGGTTCTGGTTTCATTGAGCTTCGGGTCGTTGGGCAGGAGGAGTCTGACTGGGTTCTTTGTTTTCTGTGTTAAACGATGTTAAACTGACAGAACGAGGGCCTCTCTTCACGGCAGCTCTCGTCAAACCACGTCCCCTGCGAGGCCCCGGACAGGACGGCGCAGTTCTGGGACTTGCCCCCGTCCGGCTGCGGGGCCCTGTGGTTGGACGTGTCCCAGTTTTTGTAGGTGATGCTGAAGCCGGTCTGGTCCGTCCAGGCACCCTCGGTCGTCATGTCGTTGACGCCCAGCCAGACCTGCTCGTCGGGGCCGATGCTCTGACGGATGTAATCTCTGAGCTGGTCGTTCTCGGCGCTGGATGTGGGGGCCCCGAGGACCCCTCCCAGGGCGTTGCAGTCCTCGCTGGCAGCGTGGTACCGTTTCTTCACAGGGTCGGCCAGGTAACACTTGCTGTGGATCTTTACGCCTTTCAAACAGACTGACGAGAGGAAATGAGAGGATCAGGACAGAAAGACTTGTGTTGACACTTTATCTATGCTGCTGATTATCCATGCTGCTGATTATCCATGCTGCTGATTATCCATGCTGCTGATTTCACACCCCTCTGCTCACAACAAACTCATGTTCAGGCTGCTGTTTAATACATCGTATTATTAATGTTTAGCATATATCTTCAACCAATCCTTTTCTACTGTTTCTTTTTATATACAGGTACATTCTATTGTTGCTACTTTTGGGTGTAACTGGGACCTCGAGTACACAATTTCATTCCACCTCATGTACCACACGTGATGCGAATGACCGTCACCTTGAACCTGGAAGAGTTCTCTGGGAACAATAAAAGGCAAAACTACGGAAGATGATTAGGGCCATGGTGCAATTTTTTCTTTAATTCTGAGAAGAAAACAAAAATCTGAATTCTGAAATTCTGACTCTCAGAATTCTGTTTGTTTTCTTCAGAATTCGACTTTAAACTAAGAATACTGTATATGGTAATTATCTCAGAAAATCTTAAATCTACGGTATTCTGAATTTAATCCCAGGATTCTGACTTTAATCCCAGGATTCTGACTTTAATCTCAGAATTTTGACTTTAAACTCAGAATACTGTATCTGGTAATAATCTCAGAAAAACTTAAATTTATAGTATTTTGACTTTAAACTCAGAATTCTGACTTTAATCTCAGAATTTTGACTTTAAACTCGTATATGGTAACAATCTCAGAAAATCTTAAATCTACAGCATTGTGAGTTTAATCTCAGACTTTTGACTTTTTTTGAAATTTTATCTTTAATCTCAGAATTTTGACTTTAAACTCAGAATACTGTATCTGGTAATAATCTCAGAAAAACTTAAATCTACAGTATTCTGACTTTAATCTCAGAATTCTGACTTTTTTTTCTCCTCAGAATTAAGGAAGAAACAAAATTGCACCGTGGCCTTAAATAATCCTCTTCTGTACAAAACAGCTGTTTGGTTCAGACGAACATTTTCCGGTCCAGAATTGTCTCATTTCTTTCATGTGTCATTCCCATTTCATTCTTTGTGTCCTGAATTTTCAAAGTAACACAACCAGCACAACATTAAAGTCTTTACACCTCCTCTGAGTTAACAAAAAAATAAATAAAAATCTCACTAATTATTTTGTTTCCTGCAACCATTTTTTAAAAAAAGATGTCAGCATTAAGAAACAAATGATCTGTTTAAAGTTAAAACTTAACCGATGTGAAATGAAGTTCAGCTTGTGTTGTTAACTTTAAATGTTAGTGTTTTATTATTAAAGCTGATATAAGGGTTTGATTCGGCTGAGCATTCATAAATCCACCCTTTATAACAACAACCAAGCTGTAGCTGAAGTTCACCTGTCTGCAGAGCTTGCTGTTCCTTCAGCAGGTTCAGCTCCTGGACTATGTCATGGATCTGTTTCTGCAGATCTGCCACCGCAGCGTCCTTCGTCGCATCTGATCTCAAACACAAACGTTCAGAATCGTCACCTTGAAGGTTCAAAGAATTAGTGAATCTCTTTTTATGTTTTCCATGTCTTGTTTGCATTCCTCCTGTAAGAAACTTCTACCTTTCTTCAGCGGCTTCTTCTTCAGTGGGTTCTGCTGGAACGAGAAGTCTGTGAGCAGCAGGAGGCCCAGCAGGACACAAACTCTTCTGATCTCCATGGTGCACCGAGCTGAATGAAGCTGCTCCGACGTGGACGCTCGCAATTTATCTCCCTCACACCCGCCCTCTCGTGCCTCTGCACGCAGGAGAAGTACTGAAAACAACAGGCCGACCTCAGGAGCCTTGAGGGAAGCGTCTCTTCTGGCTCCAGACGTTTCACGTGGAGGTCGAGCGTGCAGAGCAGGTGCAGAGAAGCCGTTACATAACGCCTCTGCAGAAATAAAAACACCCGTCTGTTGCATCAACTGTGGACCTCTTTATTAAACTGTTTCTGCCATAAACGTTGAAGACCAGAGACGTTAGTCGTTAGGCTGCCTGAGGGATTTTTATTGTTTTTAAGGCTTTCCACTGCAGAGCTCCAGTTTATGGACCAGGACGACCCCGCAGATCCTCTGGTTCCTCTTTTAGCTGTTTCACCGAGCCGAACATCTGCCGGAGGATCTGAGAGTTGCTGTAATCATACTCATGTTCAGGCCGCTGTTTAATACACCGTATTACTGTTTGGCGTATATCTTAAATCCTTGTATACGGTTTCTTCTTTTTAAAATACTTTATATTTTTGCTATTTTTGGGTGTAACTGGGACCTCAAGTACACAATTTCATTCCACCTCATGTACCACGTGCAACGTGTGAGGAGTCCACAACTCGGGACACTTAAACGTAGACAAAAGACCCGCCTGTTCTGTTGGACTTTTACATGGGTTTAATGTAGCGCCCCCCCCCCGATGGCCCGTAGAGACCTTCAGCCTTGACTGCAGCGGTTTCTCCAGACTCTTGAAATCGTTTCATTTCGTAGATGTTCAGATAGTCGGTCTTTATTTACTGTTGGGAAACATTTTGAAGTTGTTCCACCATTTTTACATGCAGTTTTTTAGACTGCTGAACCTCTACCCATTTTTACTTCTAAAGGGAATTCTCAGTCCTGTTGCCATATAACCCAGCCAGATGTAAAGTTCTCCTCCAGATGTTTATTTGGAAAGCACTTTTACAGCCCCCGTCCCAGCTGAAGGAAACGTTGCTACCATAAAGTTCAAAATGACCCTTTTCTAAGAAATGTAAAAAAAAGTATTAAAACATTTGACGTTTTGTTTCATTGCATTCAGCTTTAATTAACATTTCACACAAGTTCCTAGCTTTTTCAACATTTTTGTGATATAGGATGAGCGTTAGCTACATAAAAAGCTTTTATTTTTTTTAAATAAAATAGCCATGCATAAAAGTTTGTTTTGGACCAGTGCGCTCCCAGCTTGTGCAGATGCCCTGCAACAGTCTGAGGGGAAAGTGGAACAGATCCAGACCTTCTGTCAGACTCCCTCTGCACTCAGTCCCTGCTGACACGTGGCGAACACAAAACTATGCAAAGAAGCCGTAATCAGCGCTTTAATGTCACACCAGACTCACGTGGATCCAGTTCAGCTCTGGGGTCAAGTCTGGGGTTTAGCATCACGTTGTTTTATTTATCTATGAAAACAGGTGTGGAAGAAAATACTCCGAACGTTGAGTTAAACCTGAACATAGTCCTCATTTAGCGAATTCCCTCAGCTATCTACAAAAGACAACCAAACTTGTACGAATAAGACATTTTATTTTTTTAAAAAGTACATAAATACAAACGGTAGAAAGAGCAGATTTTAACCAAGAAAGCCGACTTTGTGTCTCTTTATGCCCAGACCTTCTTCCTGCTGCAGCAGCTGCATGAGCGGAGCGTGAAGAGCTTTCCCAACGCGCTTCCCCGCCTGCAGACACACAAATAAACAGCTGCTGGGTCGACGTGCAGTTACATTAAAACATTCGCTTTTTCTACAAAATACACAAGTTTGTCTTGTAGACAAGACAGAGAATTATTAAAACTCTTAACCAAAAAGGTGAAAACTTTGTCTTTGTACAATGATCGGAGTCTAAAAGTGGCTGGGAAGACAATGGGCGATATGTTTTTTTTCAAATGTTAGAATTTTTTTTTTAATGTTTAATGCCGTCTTTTAAATTCAACTGAAATAAAATGATACAAGTAGTCGAAATCAAAATAGTGCCACAAAAATGTTTATATTACTGTGAATATTTGAGTAAAACGTGTTGCGATTTCAAAAATACAGTAGGTCCTCGTTTATCACAGGGGAACTGTACCCTGAAGCCCCGCGATAAGTGAAACACCGTGAAGTAGGAATAGTAATTATATATATATATATATATATATATATATATATATATATATATATATATATATATATATAAGCTCTCTGCCTCTGCTGCTCTTTGGCACCTGCAAGAGCTCTTTGCCACGCCCACCTATCCGCTCTGCACAGAGATCAGCTGCAGGAGGAAGTTTATCCTGCAGTATGGGCTGTACAAAGTCGTAGCAGGTGCTAAATAATTAAAAATAAATAATCCATGCCGATCGTGCGGCTCATCCATCAATCAGCCAATTGTGTGTCGTGTCCAATCTTACTTTGAAAAACCGCGATAGAAAAAGTCTGCGATGAACGAACCGCAAAGTAGCGAGGGACTACTGTATTTAGCTTTTCTAACGAAGGGTTAAATTAAATTTTAAAATAATTTGCTGGGTTAAGTGCTGCACTCTAAACATTAAATAGTGAAAAATGACACTGAACACAAGAGACCATCCAAACTGTATGTGTCAAACTCAAGGCCCGGGGGCCAAATATGGCCCTCGTTGACATCTTATCTGGCCCTCAAGATGATATGTGAAACATAAAATACGTCTATATATTGAATTTTTTCAGTAATCTTTGATTATGATGTCATAAGCACAACAGAGAACATCAAATGAGACCAATCAAACTCTTGTTGAGGAACTTGTGACCAAGAACATATGCTGGGTATCTGATTTGAGTTAATGTAGTTTTTGAAATTGGCCCTCAAGTTTGAAAAAGGTTTTAATTTTGGCCCCCTTTTGTAATCTGATCTAAACAAACAAAATATGAAACAGCAAAAATAAAACTAGAAAAACATCAACTCTATGACAACTGGCAGCTGATTCCACAGCTACAACTGAAAAAAACCTGATCTCCTCTGTGGACCAAGCTGAACCTCACAACAACTCAAAGTAAATGATCGTTAGAGCCAAGGGATCCAGAGCGCACATAAGGAGGTCAGTTAGGGATGCAGGAGCCGGTCTATTCATAGCCTATAGATCATAATTTTTTTTTTAACTCAATTCTAAAATTAACTGGGAGTCAATGAAAGGAAGTGAGCACTGGGAAGATATGATCCCGCTTTTTTGTTGCCGTTAAAAGACGAGCTGCAGTGTTCTGAACTAAATGTGTGTTTTTTAAAATAAGACCTTTAAACAAAACCTTAGTATGTTAATTTATGTGATAAGGAGCCCAGCTGGTCCGGCTGCTCTCACCTCCGTCATCTCAAAGACGCTCTCTGGATCCAGGCTGCCTCCGCCCACCTTCCTCGCGCAGGTGACCGCTCCTTTGTGAGTGACGGAGATGATGAGGCTCGCCACAGAGCAGGTCTTCTCTTGCAGCGTTGCGTCCACCACGTGTCTGTGTCCAACCTGCACACAACACGGTGTTTATTATCCACGTGAGAACAGTCAACCTGTGAACACAAGCAGAGAACTCACCTTGCACAAAGTCACGATGCAGGGAACGTTTTTCACATCGAGCCTCATGCAGTCGAACGGGTCGTCAGACAGCTCAATCTCTTTTCCTCCTTCATCATCCGTGGATATGTTCACTTTGGGGATTCTGTTGGTGAGGTGATCACTTTTTAATTAAAAAAAAAGAAGTAAATTTAACTCAAACAGGACAATAAAAACTCAAAACAATCCTCACTTTGTGTTGAAGAGAGCCGCCTTGATGGCTACGGACATGGCGTCGTACAAGTTTCCATCACACTGAAGAAGCTGAGAAGGAAACGCAATGCGAGATGTGATCTTAAAATTTTTAACTAAAACACTGTATAAAAGCAACAAAACAGCTATAACATGCATTCAGAAAATATTTAAGATAGAATACACGAATAACCTTCTAAAAAACAGATTTTCTGACAAGATTTTTGTCGTTGGTCACCAATTAAAAAAAGCAGGAACTCCAACATAATGAAAGGAAACTTGTTCTGGTTTGTACAGACAGAGGGCAGGCCGGCCCACCCAGCACCACCAACTGAGTTATTTTATGTTTATCAAGAAGCGAACGTTCCCTCTTACCAGCACGTCTACGTAGAGCACCCAGCAGTGCTCTCCAGGACTGATACAGAGGCTCTTCAGGTCCAAACTGTCCTTGTTGAAAGCTTTGTAGAGCGTGTTGCTCAGCTCTGTGCCCAGCTCTTCACCTCCTCTGCCCTCGAACTCAGGAGTTGCGTTGGCCGAACTGGTAACAAAAAAACAACAAAACAGTTCTGTGAAACAAGACGAGTCTTTATAGTGATTTGTTGGAGGTGGATGTTCATGATATGGTGACAACACCACCACCTAGTGGCAGAACATTCACCAACAGTGTTGTGAGTTTTGATTTCTCAGTCCTTTACCTTAAACTTTTGCACACATGTTCTGTGAAATCAAACATTTAATGTTTATTTTCAATTACACACACGATGTTTAAGCTTTAAAATAAGAATGACATTAGCTAAACTACATAAATTTGTATTTATAAACATAAATAGTCCACAGTTTGCCATCTGCATTACTAGATAGTATAAGCTGCACAAATCCAAAACTTTGGTCCTGCAGAGTAAATGATGAACATAAGATCAACAGTAAACGGCTAACATTTATCAGCTGTGTTCTGTTCTAGACACTTTGCATCAACTTTTCATGAAACCGTTTTAATTTGTTACGATAATAGAAGAAAAGTCTAGTCTTTGAAATGCTTTCTTTCATGAAAGGTTTATAGCAACTCTTTGTTTACAACTTCACGAGAGACTTTTTGAACATTCAAAAGTAATGCAATGAAAAATTTAAATACTTTAAACCGATGCAGTTTTATGTCTTAAATACTGAATGTTGTTTCCCATGGATTAAAGAGGAAATAAGTGAGCCAAAGCAATCTGTATGAGCTGTTGGTGCATTTACATTTTGTACTTATTAAAGATTTATTCAAAATAAATATATGTGGTTAAACTCAAACTGTCCACCAACCAATCAACAAAGAACTCCAGGTATCCCTCGTTTGGTATCATTGGCCTCGGTTTGCCAATTTCAGCCTTGATCCCAACAAGAACTGCTGTGTCCCCCTGGGAGGACAAACAGAAGACAACTTTAAATGCTACTAAAACACAGTAATGTTTAGATAACCTTGGATGTACAGGTACATTGTATGTGTAGGTTGAAATGAAGTTTACAGCTCTCCTGTTTACATTAAGGATACATGATGGAGCTGAAACTTTGCTGATTTTATTACCAAAGTGACTTTAGCTGATCCGTCTGTGTTGGACACCACATCTGTCTCTATTTCCATGTGTCTGTAGTCCTCACAGCCTCTTCCATCCACCCGCAAATCATCCTGATCACGATAACCAAACACCAGATGTTAGCTCGTTAGCTTAAAGCTAGCTTAGTTTTAACGTCTGTCGCAATAATTTTATTCCATAATAACATCTGTCACAATAATATCACTCCAATATTAAGTTAAAAGCTAAAATCTCACCCTTATGCCGTGTAAGATGTAGACTTTTTCTGCTTCGCTCACTTGTACCGTTGCCATACTGTCAAAAACAGGCACCGTGACACTCTTCTTCTACGCTTTTTTTTACGTCTTCGCTCCGATAGGCCCGTTTCACAATTACGTCAGGCAACTTCCGTTTTGACTGGTTGCAGCGTATCATTACCTCCGGGTGCAGTGGAGAACTGTCCGCAAAATTCACGGAATTTCATTCATTGAACCTTTATTTATAGAGGTTAATTACAAGATATAGCGCAAGGTAAGGTTAATAAAAACAGTATTTACGTGTTATGTAACTGTGTAAGAAAACAGCCTCCGATTGGAAAGTAAGCTAGCTAGCAGCAACAGGTAGCTAAACTCTACACTGCTGCATGTCAGTGCTGCAACATTAAAACGTTTATTAATGTAAAATCTCTGACATCTTCCAACACTGTTGTTTAGAATAGCATTTTAAATATTGAATTAAGAACTACGTGTCAAACCATTGCTATATTCTGATGTGATTCATGATTTCTCTTTTTGCTTTCTTCTTGTGTCCATCTTTCTCAGCAGCAGCTCACCTAACAAGCATGGCACAGTCAACAAGTCGTTGTCATTGCAGTGTGCCATGTTGTTCCAACAATAAACAAAAAACACCATATTTGAGTTTCCACGATTTTCCTGTGGACAAAGAAATGCGTGCCCGTTGGGTGAGAGCGATCAGGAGAGATGAAGGGCCAACTTTTAAAATCCTCCGTGGGAGCACCCATGTATGCAGTTTGCACTTTGCCCCAGAAGATCTAAATTCAACAGCCAGTGGAAGAACCCGGATCAGACGAGGAGCGATGCCATCTAGATTTCGCTGGAATGATTGGGGTAAATGGAGGGAGGATAGTGCTGAAGATTTTTTAAAATATTATAAACAAAAATGTGTCATGACCATGAAGTGTCTGAACACATTTCACATGTGGACATTACTGCGCATGATTGCCACCCGCACCCGGAGTTGTGGGCGTATCCCGCGTTTCCTCCATGATTAGTTGAACATGATGGCCTAAATGTTGTATTTTTCCTATTAACTTAAAAATAGCTGTTCGTGATATGTAAAAACTCATAATTACTTCAAAAACGTTACATCTTTTGTTATATTTTTCACCCATGGAGGCTGACATTTTTTCACCTGAGCAATGCATGCTGGGTTGATGACACGTTAGGTCCATTCTTTACTGGAATGTACAGAGTAAACACGGGAACGCTAACATCAACCGACTTGTTTTTATATTGAGTTTATAAATTTAGATAATGCCACACTGCGTAACTGTTGGCTGTAATTTCAAAACAGAAAAAGGTGGAAATAGTGAGGTGGGTGCGCACCGCTTGAAAAAAAAAAAAAAAAAAAGAGTGCAATGGGAAAAAGCTGTCAAAAGAATGAAACTTCCGAAGGACCCTTGTTTGTGCTCTCAGCACTTCTCCAGAAAATGTTGAAGAAGCTGACAGGTGGTCGTTGCCCGCGAAAGCCAAAATTAAATGCCGTGCTGACAATTTTAACCACAAAGCGCCTAAACCCCGCCGCCAGCGAGCGAGCGAAAGATGCTGGGAAAATAAGACAGGCAACGCTGGAAGCTCTAGCACTGCCGCTGGTACCGAATGTAAAATAACAGATCTGACACTAGACCAAAGACCAGAGCCTATACAGGTGCTACCAGACCTGACACTAGAGATGGAGCACGTCATCTACTCACTGGATCACACAGTCCGACCAGCGATATGTGTTCATCGTTTCATTTACGAAGCTGCAGTTTGCTTCCGATTTTGGAAATGGCTAAAGGGCGATTCCACCTAATTTTCCACTATCTTAAGTGTCTTTTATCTGTTCTAGATTAAGTGACCAAAATGATCATGTATCAAAAAAAGGAAGAAAACATTTCATATGATTCAAAATGTCTTGTTGCAGTGAGAGGAGCTTCTTGTGCAACTGAGAGCAGAAATAGAGAGATGTTCAAATCTCTAAAATTAAAAAACTGTTCAGTAATGTTTACAAATTTTAAAGTTTTGCATTTTTTTTATGTTTTAGACTGAGACTAGTTTTATTGTGGAGACCCCTAACCCGCACACAAACACACACTTGCCTATTTTGACTTTTAAATCTGATCAAATTATTCAAAAAGTTTTGAAATCGCTCTTTATAGAGATAAAAGTTTGACAAAACACAGACTAGGTTTTAATTATTTTATTAGTGTAGAATAATCTAGTCCAGGTTAAGTATTTGTCTTTAACTAGAACAGATTAAAGACGCTCATGGTAGTGAAAAATTAGGTGGAATCACCCTTTAGCCATTTCCTAATCGGAAGCCAACTTCAGCTTCATGTTTAATTTATTATTATTGTTAATATTATTTCACAATTTTAAGATGGAAAATCTGTATGTGTATTAATAACAATCTTTATTACAGTCGTCTTCAGTTACAAATGCTGAAACAAACCGTTGTCAGCACATCAGAGGCAGCAGTACAGTGGGCAGATGTATGTTATCCAATAAAAATAGACCACATTTATACAGACAGGCCACTGAACATCAAGATGTTTTACCCTTCTTCATTACTCCTTGTGAGTTCTACATCGATTTCAACGTCTACAGGACCTAGCATATGTCATTTACCCAGAATGCATTGCAATGTGAACAACATGGCGACGTCCGTGTGACAATATTTCATTTTAAATTTGTAAAAACTAAAATAGCCTACAATATTTTAGTGTATTGTTTTAACATCTAAAATAAATGTTTCTTTAAGTCTATTGTTACAACTAATCATGGATCCCTTTTTGAAGCAGGCTCTAGCTGCAGATAGTTTAATTTTAATTCATATTTAATTGCGATGGTTACTTTGTGTTGGGTTAGAGGATGTCACAACCAGGTAGCTACAAAGCGCAGTTTTCACTCAATCCCAAAAATAAGGAAATATGAAGGACCAGAAACTGAGGAGCTCACCACAGAACGTCATCGAGTCTGGCTGTGTAACCGCAAGGATCTGACCTCGAACACATCAAAAATATGCCCCAATCACTTTTTGTCCAGAAAACAAAGATTTCTATATCAATCATTTAGTGAAACAATGTGTGTTGGAATTGGTGTTTTCATGATTTAGTGTCTTTATTACTGTAGTTAACTTAGCAATGCTATGTATGCTACGTGCTAACTTCCACACCATAAGACTGATGGCAACACAGTTCTGGTTCTAGTTTGGGATATTTACTGTTAGGAGTTTGCACAATAATATTTTATTTTAAACCTTTATTTAACCAGTTAGATCTGACTGAGACTTAAAAATCTCTTTTTCAGAAGTGTTCAAGAATGGCATTAACAGCAGCACACTGAACATGACCCGTCATAAAACCAGTTATTGAACACACACATAATA